TTTTTATTATATTTACTTTATTCTAATAAAATTATATGAGCAGGATATTGCCTTTATTTTAAAAAAAAAAAAAAAAAATAACGTATAAAATTATTTATTATAAAAAAAACTTTCTAAGGTAGGTTGTTTTAGAGATGCATTTTGTTTTCTTCTAATTTGATGTTGTAGGTCTTTCAATCCTGATATTACTAAATTATTTACTTTTATATCAGAATTTTGTTGCAAATAGTCAAATAGATTTTGAATGCTATCTAAAGCAATTGGATATGATATTGGTGTATTCATGGTTTCTTCTTCTTCTTCTGGTGTTTCTTGTACTGCAGAAATTATCTCATCATCATCAATCATTTCGGCAATTTCTATTCTAGAGTTGATATTAATATAGTTGCTTGCTGTGATATCCTCAACATTCATTTGATTAATAAGTGTTTGAACATCATTTTCTTCATATTCTAATTCATCTGGTTCTTCAAATATTTCCATTTCCTCATTAGGTAGAATACCTGTTCTTTGCCAACAATGGTAGATCGTATCATCAGTTACATTATCCCAAGATTGTGCAGTCCAATTACTTGCATTCAAAATATTTAATTTTGGAATCTCAACACCAAATTCTTGGTGCTCATCAAATGCTTGAATCCTATCTTGGCATAGTAATTTTCTATAATGAGCCTAATACAAAGATAAGGCAAATTTTATTAATATTAAAAATAAATTTATAAAAAAAAAGATGAATATTATAATTACTTTAAATGATTGTATTATGCCCTGATCAATTGGCTGAAGATGAGAAGTTGTGTTTGGTGGAAGAAAATGTAATTTAGTATTGCTCAACTCTTCACCTTCTTCCAATTGATGTGACGAAACATTATCTACTAATAATAAAACATTTCTTCTCCTTTTTTTCATTTCTTGATTAAATTGTCTAATCCACATTTGGAAAATAGAACATTGCATCCATGATGAATTATTCCAATAGTACCATACAGGAAGTGATTTTTTATCAATATTATGAATACAGCATGGATTTTTAAATTTATAGATAAATACTGGAGGTAATTTATGAGTTCCGATTATATTACATGCAAGCATCACAGTAATCCTATTCTTTGATTTCTTTAATCCAGTGAGAGGTCCACTAGCAAGAGATTTATGGGGTTCTAATTTCCAATAAAGACCAGTTTCTTCTGTATTATATACATCCTCCAATTCATACTGTGCAATTATAGATTGTAGTTCAGTTCTAAATGCAGGTAATTCACTAATTGGTGCACTTGCTGCTTCTCCTGATTTATAATGTTCTTTAATATTATTTCTTTTTTTAAAATTTGAAATCCACCCCTATTTAAAAATCAATGATGGATATTTAATAGATCTGATAAAATTAACACCACAATTTAAAAAAAAAAAGGAATTGATGCTTACTTGTGATGATTTGAAATCAGAAATATTAAGTCTTTGAGCAAATTGCACTGCCTTTTGACTCAAGATCACACCAGTTATTGTATAGTTAGCTTCATTGGCAAGATTCACCCAAATCAACAATGCTTCCTCTAACTGTGGCCATCCACCTCCACGATCACGTTTTTTATTAGCATCTGTTGAATCTTCTTCAACTGCAAGCCATTTATCTTTGGTTCTCAAAATATCACCCACAGTTGATTTACTTATTTCAAATAATTCAGCAATTGTTTCATGTGACTTGGATGGATTATCACGTTTATATTCACATAATTCCTTTTTTTTAATAGCTGTAAGAGTTTTTAATTTCCTTCCTTTTTTACTTCCGCCTTTACTAGTAGATCCAGATGTTCCTTCAGCATTATTTCTTTGTGTGTTCATTTTAATTAAAATTTTTATTTTTTGTTCTTAAACGAAGTTAATATTTTTTTTAACAATATAGTTAAATTTATAAATAACAGGTACATGGCAGTAAATTCATCCTTTATATAAGAAATTTGGTAAAGGATCTTTATTCTACGAATCAAGGAGACAAAGGATAGAGATTGATTGTATTTTATTTTATTTCAAATTAGATCTAATAATTTTCATGGATTTAAAATTGTTATCTTTACTCAAGACAAAGGATAGATTGATGTATTTTATTTCAGATAATTTTCATGGATTTACTTTATTTGAGACAAAGGATAGAAATTGAGTTAGATTAGATCCAATAATTTCACAGATTTAACAAGTTCAGAAGTTAATTAAAAAAGAAATAGTTTTTGAAAATGTAGATAGATTTGGCTAATAAATTCGCAATTGTTTCTAATCAAACCGTATTGGTATTATATAGTATGGTTAAAAATAAATTTTATTTTTTCGTCCCGTGTAACAAAAACTAACAACCCAATCAAAATTCGAAAACTTAGTCATGTGCGTAATACATCACATGAAACCGACTTATCGCGACTAATTTATTATACTCGGACTAAGTGACTGACCGACTTATTGAGTTTATATATGTAAATAATGATGATCATTTATTTATAAAGAGAATTATTGATATTGTCACTCACTAACTATTTGAGTTGGGAGAGTGTTTATAGTTAATGGCAAATGAAATAGATTTAATATAAATCAGAATGAATAGGAAATATGCCAGCAAATGGCTTTGGTTTGTAATTTGAATACAGTCAAAACCATTATTTTATTTTCTAAGAATTCTTGTACATAAAATTCTAATCACTTATATACATTTCAATTAATTATATACTGCTCAAAGCATGATTTCAAGTTTGAAGCAGTATTCTAACCATATAAGTAAATGAAGTATACATATTACAAATCAAATAATATAATAATAAATAAAATAAAATCATTTTATATAACAAATCACTTGACTTCATTATTATTCTTGTAACAATATTGTAACAAGTCACATGTAAACAATATTTGTTTACTTTTTATAAATAATCAATTTTATCAATGCAATGGGACTTTAAATTAGCACAAAAGAATTTTAAATTACATACAAACTTATCCCCTTCAATAAGATTACAAAAGTGCATCAATGTATTCAAATATTGCTTGATTGACCTTGAAACATGTAATGGTGTGATTGGTCCAGTCTTGGATTCCATGCAATTGCTCTGAAAATTTTTTATCTTGTATTTTTCAATACAATTAATTATATATCTTGGTTTAAAAAAAATAAACATGAATTAGGTATTTAATCATCTCCTTGTATGTGAATGCCTCCATCCATCAAATATTCATATGGTCATGGTTATTATTCAATACATTTGATGTTATCATTGACATAACAAACAATTGCATCACCCAGGTAGTAATAATACTAAGGCCATGCAGAAATGAAACTCTTAACAATGTGTGTCTACCCAGATCTCTGGGGTTCACAATAATAATTAAATAAATAAATGGGGAGGATCAAAAAAATTATTTTTCCTGATTATCAATTATGGTTCCTTATGAATAATAAATCTGATGTTGATCACAGGCATCAGATTTAATTAAAATTTCCTATCACAAACATGCAAGTGCTGTGCAATTAAGCACGCCTCATAACTATGAATTTTTTTTCCACAGGTGAAACGATTGAACATGTTGGAAGACTTTTATAAGGTTGGCAAAATTCCCTTACTTCCCCTCAGACCAGGCTTGGCTGTTACCATATGAGCATTGATTGCTGTTGAAAGTCAGCACTCACATGATGATTGCTGAGTGTTATCTCCCTCTAGAGTAAAGTTGGTGTCTGCAACTCAGGAGGTTACAGCATGAGTTGCTGTTTTGTTGGGGTCACACCTACCTAGAGCAAGGAACAATTTGGGCAAAAGCCCCATTTAAAAAAACATAAATCCAGTTAATCAAATAAAAAATTTATCAAAGAAACAGAAATTCAGAAAAACAATTAATTTATACAGAACATACCAAAACTCAAACTGTTTTTCTTCTTAATGCCAGGAATGGCACACCTAGAGCTGCCTAACAAAGTTTCAATCTAGGGCAGGAACTAATTGTGCAAAAGCCCAGTCCCCTACCAAAATTATAAATTTGGCTAGTATAAAGAAACAGAGAATTTAAGAAAATCATTAATCTATATAGAACAAGTGCTATTTTATAACTTTCCTCTTGATGCCAGAAAATGGAAGATACCTAGCAGGTTCTTTGAAAAAGAAACAATGCAATTCCCAACCCACCCTGAATTGCAAATTCTTGTTGCTTTTGATGGATCTATATGTTTACACAAACCTAAAATCACGACTCTTCTCCAGAGTTATGACCTCTTGGTTGCATAGCCAGCCATCTTTATCCTAGAATAGGTTTGTTGCAAGAACTTTTCAGCTAACACGCATATCCAGGTAATGCCAGCTCAGGTGCTGTGAAGAAAGATTAGGTAGGGTTTGCACAGCATCCTTGACGATGTCATTGTCAATAAATTCCAGAGCCATGCGGCCCCTCCCTGAAATTCCATTGTATCGTTGTATCATCAGGCGTAGCAGGTCAGATATTAGCCTTTGAACGTGAGGAACATGTGAGAATGACTGTAAGTGATAAGGTAGCGCATGTGCACCTTGACATCTGTAAATTTCCGATAATCAAACGTTACATATCGAATTGTTTCTTTTTCAACAGTCATGTTGCTTTTCTTATTATTTAATATTAATGACAGTTAAGAAAAGCAAAACGATACCAATCATTTGTTATCATGACGAGAATTTTGTAATCACCAAATAGACACTACATGTTCTGCTCTACATTTGATTTCAATTATATAAAATAAAAGTGTATCAACGAAAAAAAAAAATATACCTCTTGCCATCAGTAAATGACTCGCCATTCTTTAGAACCAACTGAGACGACAAACATGAATGTTGTTTGGTATGATGGACTCTGTTTAAAAAATAAATTGTTTTTCAAAAAAAAAAAAAAAATCCAATCGCGTCAACAAACAAGATAGGGAACCGACCAGCCCAAAAGAGGAAGGACACACACATTTATATATTTATAATTCTATGAAACTACAACATATAAAAGAAATTAACCAGCAAATACAAGACAGCAAACATATTTTAAAACTTCTTACTTATTCAAAACAGACCATTAAAGATTTAGAGGAATTAAGGGTAGAGTATACGTAACACAAATTTTACTATGATACAGTGAGGACCTCGGACAATTATATTTGAACTGGTATTGACAAAAGCGGGTATAAATTGGCCTTTTTTTTGAGGAACTGGT